AGTCCAAAATAGCGGCCATAGACCCTTTATAGCACAGGAGTACAACATATCTGGTGCTAAGTGGGTGAAAAAGACAGTCTTCATCTTTTAAAATCTTTTTTAGTTTTTTTTTTATTATTATACCAACAGTTTCTGTATACATAGTTAATAAATATAGATAACAATACGTATTGGGCTTATACAGTCGCCAATTATAGGTTAATCAACTTTTCAATTAAGTGCTAAAATACTGTAGAAACGATCGTGTAAAAAGAATTTTAGTTCACTAAAAATATATTTAAAACTACTTATGAAATAAACGTATGTACACAAAATTGACGTACAAAATTGAAGATTAAAAAAAATATTCAAAACAACATCGATAGAAATAAAAACACCATTTATTATGCAACACACATTAAAGCTGGCGACACACTCCACACTCAATGACGTCAAAAAATTGCATTCAACATATGTCATAGTGATAAGAATCGCTCATTCAGCTTGACACAAATTCGGGGCAAGCATTCTCATTTATGCCATGTCGACGGGAATTGCATCTACGTTTATTGTGCCGTTAGGTTGGCAACATGGACGTGGCTATAGCTGTCTCGCTGGGTGTGGCGTCAGCTTTATTTATGGCCAGATACAGCGTGAGTACGTTCAGTAATTTATACAGTCAGCTTTTCTCAGAGTTTTTGGGGTAGGTAGAGGTCATGACAGAATGACAACAGAATGGTGGTCCTTATGTAAACTATCGTAAGTCTAAAATTCATATTTGATTTTGTTGCACGAATCTATAAAAATGCTACAAAATTGTTTATTTGTTGTGTTCGTAATTATTATTATCATACATAATGAAATGGTAAAATGAAAAATATCAAACCTGGGATGACACTTTTATTTAAACGATTTGTTGTTTGATTTAAAAATTACCTTGTAGACCGCAACCTATTGTTCTATAATTGTGTCTATATTGACGGTACTCGACGAGTTTAAGGCTCTAGTTGAAATGAATGACTGTTGAACTTTTCTCTTACTATAAAACTGCGCGTGTTTTAGTATAAATGCACTTCTAAAATGCAAAGTTATAAGTACCCACTTCTAAAGTAACAAAACCTCCTTTCAATCACTATGTTGTTTTAAATAAAAGTACCTAAAACACAGTTATTTCCTGCTTTTTACGAAACTTGTACGAACAATATTCAGTTCAAGGTCACGTCAATTTCCAAGCATATTAACACATACTATGTGAAACAAAATTGACTTTTGATTGCCACTATGGCATGAAACTAGTAACTGGCGTAAGTGGGAATGCTGTTTATACAATTACTAGTTTATTTAGGTACATTTTATTGTAAAGTTATGGTTTGTTAAATCAAGTATTTTTCTATTTCTATGACTTCCTCGTTGGCCGACTGGTTGCAAGTGCGACTGCCGGGCAAGGGGTCTCGGGTTCAATTTCCAGGTCGGGCAAAGTAGTAGTAATAGTAACACGGAATCTGGAATTGTGCCCGGTATATGGCAATAAGCTCACCCCCTATTATATGAGACTGATACCATAAAATAGTGAAAAGTGGGTGTTGCATGGTACAGTGGCATTAAGTGCCGTAATGTGCACCTCTGCCTTTGGGGATAAAAGGCGTGATGTTATGTTATTATGTTATTTTTCTATTTTCATAATGTCGTCGGGTGTCGTCGGCAATACAGCTTGATGGCAAGCAATCACTATAATCTTAGTACCTCATAACTGCAATGCCCCAATGAATGCGTCGCGAGTGCGTTATCATTATTTCAGAAAAGAATTTTAAACTATGCCAGAATTTTTGAGAACTATCTCCCCTAGAAATGACGATAGTTTTTTAAGGGATTATTTTGTATTGACCATTTAAAATAGGACTATATAATGTATGTTAAAACACTGGGTTCTGGGTACTTTCCCAGCTGACACCGAAGCGGACAAATTTTTTGACGCTCTTGGTAAATAGTTAGTTATACTTAGTTTTTCTTTAGTGTATATTAAATACTTAAGAGTGTAGTCGTAAAGTTTTTACATAATTTTATAACATTAAGTCAAATCAACCAGTTTTATCATATACTGGTATTGTTTCTCCGTTTGGTAAGGCTAAGGTCCGCACTGTACTGTCTATTAAGATACATAGATATTATCCGTATAGCTATCTTGTTAGCGATAGTGTGGCGTCGGCCATATTTATTGTGTACACAAAGCGTTTATATGAGGTCACACTGTTTGTAGAGCTGAGCCAGTGAATTAGGTGTTGTCTTAATAGGGATGATGACAGGGTAAGAAAAATAAAAATCTTATTAGTCCGTCAGTTAGGTAAGGAAAAAATATAGACACGTATTTTTTTTTTGTCGTTTAATAAAACAATACTTAGATAAAACGAATCAAAGTTTAGGAGTGGGGCCTAAAACGTCATTTCTACGTATAAAATGTACATAGAAGTGACGTCACGCGACATTTCAAATCAATATATCGTCGAAAGTATTCGTTACTGTAAAAAAATAAAAAATACGTGTTAAATGTTTTAAAATAATCTGCCAGACAGGACATTAAAATAAAAATTAGTCATCTACCCTATTATGGTTCATAAGGTTTTTGTCTAAGTAAGTTTATTTGTTTATTTTCGAGCTGGCGTGTACTGTGTTCCAATGTTCCTTAAAATAAAAGAATAAAAAAAGTCGGTTTGTTACATAGAGGTATATTATGTGTTCATTGGTTGTGTTTTTATGGTTATAATTGATTATATTTGCTGTCTTGTAATGGAGACAAGTTCGAACCACACTTTGAGACAAGTTTGGACTGATGACGAAGGGATGTCGGGTTTATATCTGGGTCTGAAAGAAAGTGGTCTGTGTATTAAGGATTTAAGAAAAATACAAAATAGTCTGGTGCGGCGTATGGAATTGTACCCGGGAAGTAATACACTCACCTTTTATAGCACGGAGTTTACAACATGGTTGGTAAAAAGTATTTCTGGGTATAATATAGTTATGGAATATAACAATCATAAACGTAAAAGAATACTACTACGCATGCAGAAAAGATCCTTATACCGAACCCACAAGACCGGTTTTCAATTAACACCTGTGATAGTACAATTCTCCCCGCATCATTGAGCGTGCCTGCATTGTCAATGTAGTCTAAATTGTTCCTAAATTGGTGAGCCGCAAAATTAACGCCCTCAAAAGCTAACGAATATGTGATCCTCCCGCCACAGTGGTCGAATTTGAACGCCAATGCTCCGAAATTACGGGAATGTCCCGATATTACGGGAATGCTCCGAAATTACGGGATTGCTCCGAAATTACGGGATAATGCAGCCATCATTGAAATTTCGGCGTTCGAAAAGCATGTGTAATTATTTCAGAATAACGCTTCGTTTTAATCCTAATGCATATGTTTGAATCGGTTCAAATTCTAGTACTAAAGTTAGGTGTTAGTCGATTAGATATTTGCTATAGTTTCAGGTTTTAGTTTAAGACTTTAGATAATCTAGATTGCATTTTAAGCTTCATAGTAGAACTATTTTGGTGTTAGTTTTATTTCTTTCTGTTAATTTGTGGTACAAATTGCAATATACGTGTTGGGCAGTCGCTTATGATTTTGCTGTAGGAAAAAAGTCAGTATGTACTAAGTTTTTCCTCACTTTAAGTATCTGTGATTGCATTTTTATATATTGCCTGCCCTATTTATGTTAATATATACTGCACACTATATATTATGATGGCTTTTTCTAACTATGTAATACTTTTTTAAGATGTCTTTGTCTTTTAGTTAAAAACTCATTAATTGTGATTTTTGTCAAACATAACATAACTTCACGCGGTTTATCCCTTAAGAGGTAACCAGAGGTACACATTGCGGCACTTAATGCCACTGTATAATGTAACACCCGCTTTGGACTAATTATGTTATAAGTCCCATGTAGTAGGGGGTGAGTCTATTGCATTATATCGGGCATATTTCCAGACTGCGTGCTACTACTGTGATTTTTTTTAAAAACCCGTTAATACTTGACCATATAACATAACATGTTTAACAACACACTGTACATACGCCTTTCTCTAATGAAATCCTCCAACACCCTTTAGCAACGAACTCCATAGAAAGTGTTTTTGCGGCCATCCGGCCAGAAACAGAGCGGTGTATCAACTTCTTATCTGCCACAAACACACGAGTTACAAACAACTTCCAAGTTTGTATGGAAACTTCACTAGTGGAAGTTGAAGTTCGTAGGCGTTGGAAGTCCATGTGCACTGTTTCAAGGTTTACGTGATATTGTTTGTAGTTGCATTGTTTTGAACAAGAAAACCGGTGGCATAATGGAAATGTTCATTTAGGTTAGTTAGTGTTTTGTTTTGCTGTGTTCTTTGAAGTTGTGTTGTGTTTGATAGTGTGTGTGTTGTGTGGTTGATTTTAACATATTATATTGTATAGTAAGTTACATGCATCATAGTGATTCGATTATGTCCTTGAATTACGACCAGCTATTGTAAGGATAAGGGCTGTTTAGAGAGTACAGCTGCCTAAGATTGGAGTAAAATTGCCTCCTATCCTAAGATTGGATAGGAGGATCCTCCAACCAGGGGAGGTGTTTGTGCTAGGCGGGCTTTCTGCTCTACAGTTGTTCATTGAGATTTTCTATCCGTGTTAATTCGCATGTAAACTTGACATGTGCGATGTAGAATTTGTGACGTCATTCGTTTATTTGTTTTTCATCAATAGTCTATGTGTGTGAACTGTTATTTGAGATGGGTCATGTGTGACTACAGCAACAGCCATTTTTTATGGAAATCTAACTGCGACAACTAAGTTAGCTGCACAACGTATTTGATGTTCGTGATTCTGACGAATATTCTTAAATGGGGAAAGCCCTCGTTCATGATGATTTCATGTGATCCGCTAATTATTACTTGTGCAGTTAATTGCGTTTGTTGATGATTCCAATCAGGAGCACTTACTATAATAATTTATAAAAAAATGAGTGTCCACATACCTGAAACCTCTCATCGTTTGTGTATGTGAACTTCCCAGAGCTCAGGATATGCCAGTCACGCTTTCTTATCCAAGACACTTGCTGCAAAAAGAAAAAAAGAATTGGTTATTATTAGGTACATCATATTTTATTGGAGTTCATAAGTTAACATTTACGTTGGTTGCAGTAAAGAGAATCTAATTCGATTCTTGGGTTCTAGCAAAAAAAAATCGTGCACCTCTGTTTATCCTGTTCCAACCTCAATAAATGCGTGGTTATTTATGACACACGTAACATTACATAACATCAAGCCTTTTATCCCCGACGGGGTAGGCAGAGGTGCACATTACGGCACTTAATTCCACTGTACAAATGTAACACCCACTTTTCACTATTTATATTATGTGCCCCTTGTAATAGGGAGTGAGCCTATTGCCATATACCGAGCACATTCCAGATCCCCTGCTATAACGGAGAATTTATTTAAAAATCCAGACTACTGGGTTTTAAGTACTAACTTAGCGCGACCCGGGAATCGAATCCGAGACCCCTTGCCCGGCAGTCGCACTTGCGACCACTCGGCCAACGGGGCAGTCATTTGGTTATTTATGATAGAATCATTAATTAATTAACGTATAAACAAGACAATAATAACATATACAGTTTATACAGTAACATGTAGGTTATTCCATATACAATAATTTATAACATCCGAGACAAAGGTGTATCATATACAGCCACCCACTTTCAATCAACACTGTAATTAGCTATAGACAATAGCGATCCACCCTATTGTCACAATCTAGATACATATCCAGATTCTGAATTATGTTATTAATGACAAATCCCAAAATTAGTTACGGAACAGATTTATGTGCGCTGTGTATACTAGATTCTGTCCGCGACTTCGTATGCGGAATCCCGTTTTCTCCCGTTCCCGTAGGATTTTCAGATTTTTTTTTCTGTCATAAGAACTTTTCCTGGCATTAACAAACACAACAACGGGAAACGGGTTTCGTTTTTATATACAGATATGTCATGACGTCACAATCACAACTTTTGTTTTTTTGGAGATGTTGATAGAGATTAAATAAATCTCACTACCTTGGTAGTGAGATTTATTAGTTAGTTAGTAGCCCAAGAAGCCATTACCTACTAAAAAAGTAAAAAAATGAAGAATATAAATCTGACCAGTTACAATTCAATTGATATTATTGTACAAATCTAAAAATATTTTTGCCTTACCCAAGTATCGAACTCAATCGTTGTACTCGAACAACGAAAAAGTTATAATGAAGAGAGAAATAATTAAAATACTGTGCCACGGTAAAGTTTCGAAACCAAAATTATTGGGAAGTGTCCAGAAAGTAGGTACTTCAAAATTTTCTGTTGTCCGTTGCCAAATGCGGCTATAATCCAAAACTCTGATTTTTGTTTTTTTTTTAAATATATAGTTCTTGTGTGCATCAGGTACAAGTTTTGGTTTTAAAATCTATACTACGTTATATTCTCTGCCTCGTTTGCCGAGTGGTCGCTAGTGTAACTGCCGAGCAAGGGGTCTCGGGTTCGATTCCCGGGTCGGACAAAGTATATTTTTTTTTAATTTTCAGTAGTAGCACGGAGTCTGAAATTGTGCCCGGTATATGGCAACAGGTTCACCCCCTATTACATGGGACTCATAACATAAATAGTGAAGGGTGGGTGTTACATTTTACAGTGGGATAATGTGCACCTCTGCCTACCCCTTCTAGGATAAATGGCGTGATTTTATTTGACAGTCGCATCTTTTAGTTACCTAGGTTTCAGGAATCACTTCCCTGGCCAAATCTCTAGTAATGTAGTGGTTTCGACTACAAAATTCAAGTAGGATACAGAAATTTGGAATTCTGCCCAATGTTTTCCTCCTGTGGTTTTAGATTTTGTTAGAAGTAAATGGTTTGTACCATTTGCTACTAATAAAATCTTCTAAGAGTGGATATTTTGTAAGGATGCTTCTGCATTAACTACGTAATAGATATCTACTTGGTTAGACAATCAATACTTTGACGACATTTGTATGCGTTTGGGGAACTGATTTAACTAATAAAGTTCCACAGAAAATATACTAACACATGGAGTAAAATACCTAAATAGACCGAAAGAACTAGAAAGAACTTGATTGGCCAAATTTTCCCATACCACCCGTAACATACACATACAGTATGTTTAAAAAGGCGCGACGCAATTTACTGTTATGTGTGAAATTAAGCCTTTGAGAATGAGTTGAAGCGTCAACGAACGAATTGTCTGGTCATGTCAATGTCGTTCAGAATTACTGGCTTGTAGACATTTTGGAGTGAGCCACTTTGGAACACGCTATATATAATGAGTACCTAGATTAATTTGATAGGTTGATTTTAATTGTACTTTGTATTGTTTCGGTGAAATAAATATTTTAATTTTATTTTATTTGTTGCTACAATTTAGATTTTTAAGTCGTTTTTAAAATGTGTTGTTAAAATAAGATTCTATTGCCAAAATTTATCTGACCTCCAGCAAATACACACTTGAGGATTTTTTTTTTAAATCAATTAATTATTTATTCTGCCTGGGTGAGGCGGGAGGGAGTGTCAGACTCTTACTAACTAGGAACCACCCCGTTCCTACTCCTGTACTTCATGCCACGCACACGAAGAAACATAACACAAGCGTCGTTTCTCATCGGTTTTCTGTGAAGCCGTGGTATAACTCCTGTCGGGCCGACCCATTCGAGCCGAAATATGGCTCTCCCACCCTTAATTTTTTTTCGTACATTTCATTAATTCATTTCACTAAACTAATCTAAGTTCAGCTCAGACTCCAGGCTTCACTGTCAAGTAACTTCGAACTACTAATCAGATTTATCAGGGCTGTACAGACGAAGTTTACCACTTAGAGGTCATAGTTCGTGATAGCGTTGTCTTTAATTCATGTTTCTGTTAACTGTTGACGGCCCTCTGGCCGAGTGGTCGCGAGTGCGACTGCTGGGTAAGGGATCTTGGGTTTTATTACCGGGTCCGGTAAAGTAATACAGGGTTTTAAAAAAAATCCCAGTTATAGTTACTGTAATTGTGCCCGGTATATGGCAATAGGCTCACCCCCTATTACATGGGAATCCTAACATAAATAGTAAAAAGTGGGTTTTATATTGAACAATGGCATTAAGTGCCATAATGTGCACCTCTGCCAACTCCTTCGCGAATACAAGGCGTGGTATTATGTTATGTGTTAATTTTGATTAAGTAAATATTCGCTGTAATAAATATCATACACGGCTTCAATAAACTAAATTACTCTCTTTCTTAGTTCTTTCTAAAAGGTACAAAGGGATGCCTGTATTCGATTTCTCGTTATCAAGCTATCAAATCACCTAATGTTAAGCTCATAAGTAAAAAGAATGGACATAAACGGCATGTCCTTACCATTCTCTCTTTAACGTTACCCCCACGTTAGTATCTTTTTAAGAGTCATAATTGCATTTACAAACACTAATTTCTAATGAACATCACTCAGAACTCAAAATAACAACTCGTAGATTATATAGCTACATATTGGAATCGAACCCGTGACACATTATAAAGCACCGAACACGACAACTGCGCCACTCTTGCTGTATTAGGACCAAATTAATATAGCATGCAGCACAGAAGTCAATACCCAGCAACTGCACCAAACCAGTAGTTATATCATTAAAGTTATTAACCAACTTACCCCTCTTTCGCTCAAGTGCCCGACAAGGCAGTGGAGGTAGGCAGTACCGCCCAGCTGTGCGGTGATGTTGCTGACCGTATTGTTAGCTGTTACGTCAGCGGACGGCTGCACGCCTGCGCGCCAACCGCGAGCTCTTGATATGCCGTGATGCCCTGGTACCAAAGAATTGAGTTTAGTAAAGTTAAGGTGGAACACATGCTCTAAATTCTAAAATAGTATGCTGAAAGGCGTTCTATTGAATATGCTCAAATATTACTACAGTTACTCATGTCCCTTTTTTTTTTTTTAAAGGGGGGGAAATCATCGAATGACTGCTCCCGCCTGGGTGAGGCGGGAGCAGCCATTCGATGTCCCTGGGACGCGCCGGACTTCAATGTTCCGGTGTTTTCATGGTTGTATCTACTGCAGATCCTGGCTTACAGGAGTTGCAGCGGTTTTGGGAGGTTGTGGCGGGCTTGTCCCAACACAAAAAAAAATGCTCAAATATGTTCAAAAATCGAAACATAGATTCAGTAATATGCCTGATATACACTGTTACACACGCTAAATTCAAGAACGAAAGCATGCTTCAATTGAACACTTGTCATTTAGTAGCACGCGTATCGGAATGTTGCTCAAAATTAGCATACTAATTTCGGGCATGCTGGCGAATCGAGAGGCGTTCTAATTTTGAATTATCTTAAGCACACTCAATAGATGCGTCAAGCGTGTCTTTGCATTGTTCTTACATATGCGTACAGTATTGAAATATGTATCAGAGACATTGTAGAACATACTTTTTTAAAAGAGTAACGAATGGAGTTTCTTGCTCGTTCTTCTCCATTCGAATCTACGTTTTGGAATGAGCACCTAGCTTCACCTAATTTCACTGACGGACTGACTGACAGACTATTATTTATTTTGTATTTGTTGACGTTTCAAAAGTACCAAACTATGGTTTAATTGAAATAAATGCTTTGACTTTGACTTTGACTTAGATGGCCAGTTAGCATGCTATTTTAGAGAATGTGAACATTGCCTTAATAAAGATGGGTGTTTGATAGAAGATTTTATTTTTAAATTTCTTACGATACCAGTGAAAGAAGTAGTAATGGTGTCAAATGTGTTCTACTACGCCGTCATCAATGAAAATCCATTAATATTCCTAATTAATAAATGCTGTGGTGTAAGTGTGGGAGAGCCATGCTTCAGCACGAATGAGCCGGCTTGATGGGAATGATACCACGACCTCACACGAAACAAGGCTTGCGTGTGTTTGTCGTGTGAGTGAGGTTACCGGAGGCCCAATATGGGAAATTGGGTAATCGGCCTCATACTCAATCTCCCTAATCCCTGAATCCTCAATAATCGTCAAATTCCTAATCCCGAAAAGGCCGGTAACGCACGCCTCTGGCGTTTACCGGCTTATCCCATAAAAAACCATGCTGTCATCAATGAAAATAAATCATTAGTATTCTCAATTAATGAAACCTATCTCTCGTTTATCAGCTGTTGAAACTCTCAGCGTTATTTTACCATCAATATTATTAAAATTACCATAATTAGATTAATTTTGGTTTGAACACAATCGGAGGGCATTTTATTAACTTATTAGTTATGCAGTGATTAATTCAATGAGCATTTTCATACATATAACAGATTGGAACAGAATGTAGAACTTTCTGGCAGTATGTAAATTTACCTACATCTAATTTTTGCTTTATTCACTCCTAATTTTTGTTTGCATTGTATTTATTGTATTGTGTTTGTGCCTGGTGTTGTACCGAATAAATTATTTTTCTTTCTTTTCTTTCTTCTTTATTTCTTTCTGTGTCTGTGATAACAATTGTAGTATTTTAACAACTATTGAGTAGAACCGAAAGAATTTCAGTCAGTTTAACATTTCTATGTCCTCGAAGAAGAATTCAGAAGTGCACAGTTATTGAACCGAGAGTATAGTTCCCTAAGATCGGTAAAGGAGGATCCTGCGACCAGGCGAGGTGTTGGTGCCTGGCCATCTTTCTGCCCAACAGTTGTTCGAATGTCGTTAGAATTTTCTATCAGTGTTAATTCGCATGTAAACTTGTGGGATATACGATGTTTTATGACGTCATCTGTTGATTTGCTTCCATCTATAGTCCATGTGCGCGAGCAATCGTTTTTACGTGTGCTATGTGTCGCCACACACATTTCAATGCTGAAAATGTCCTCATAGGTTCAAGATGTTCGTTGTGCACAAGTAACGTAGCTAAAAAATCGCTTTATCTAAGTAGTTATTTTTTCATAATTTAATTGATGATTTAAATAAATATTACCTGTGAGGATATAAAACACGACTTAAATTCATTTTAAAAATATTGTCAATGCAAACAAAGCCACGGGCACCACCTAGTATTATTATAAGCGGGTGGTCGCAGCGAATAATTTGCAAGTACCTACTTATCGCGTTCACACAGACGAGCTTAATTTGGATGACATTTATATTACCTTCGACCACGTCAAGCATTTCTTTTTAATTATAATTATCGCCAGTACTGCCACGGTGAATTTTTGCTCGAAAAAACAATTCTATACTATTGTTTTTCGACCTTTTTTTATTTTTTTTAATAGTTTTTTATTTCCATATTCAGTCGAGTGACTCAAAGTGCAACTGTCGAGTAAGGAGGTTCAGTTACACGATTGTTTACGGGGTTTAGTAAAGTATAAGATATTTATGTTATACAAATTTTTTTTTTTTTTTTTTTTTTTTTTTTTTTTTTTTTAATTTTTTTTTTTTTTTTTTTTTTTTTTTTTTTTAAACGTTGCCCCACACTAGGATTTTCTCCTGTGTCGTGGGTGCGTTTACAAACATACAAGTTCACATTCATACACAATGACACCCAGACCCGAAACAACAATTTATGGATCACACAAAGTGTTGTTCCGTGCGGGAATCGAACCCGCGACACGTTGCACGGCAGCCGGTTGCCCAGCCACCGCACCAACCGTGCAGTCAAATATTAGTTTAAAGTTTAAGTTACACTGTCCTAAAATTAAACAAATGTCGTTACAAAAACATTCTTCAATAGGGATGATGACAGGGTATGAAAATGAAAAATATAATTAATCCGTAACTTAGGTAATGAAAAAATAGACACGTAATTTTTATTTTGTCGCATAAGAAAACAATACTTAGATAAAACAAATCAAAGTTTAGGAGTTAGCTACGTCATTTTAGAGTATAAATCGTACTTAAAAGTGACGTCATACGATATTTCAAATCAATATATCTTCGAAACCATTCGTTTTCGTAAGATAATAAAATATACGTGTCTAATGTTTTTAAATAATCTACCAGATGGACATTAAAATAAAAAATTGTCATCTATCTTATTACTAATTGTGTCCAAAGAAAAATCTTTGTTTCACACAATGATAATTCTTACATAATATCATATTTTTTGTTTGTTTCTCAATTCCAATCTTGTAACCTCTGTAAGTGACAGGCTTGTATTTGACAGATACATTAGGGCTAAATCAATGTAAGTGACAGCTGATTTTTTCATATTTTCACTATCAAAATGTATTAATATATTACATTGCGTATATTTGGGAAAAATCCAAGTTTCTAGCTACGAAACCAGTTGACGGCGCAGTATGAATGTTTGATAGGCGTTGAATTTGCTGATTATAGGTCCTGTGACACCTTGAAATAAGTCGAGGATCCTGCTCGAACAGTTGCGTATAGAGTATGTCTCCCGATACATAACAATATGACCTACATACTAATAATAATTATGTATGTTTTATTCCTTTTGAAAATCTGTTAGAAATGAAATGAGTTCCACTACTCACGTATATCTCCCGTGGATGATGTGTAGAGAGGCAGCATGCAGAATATGGCCGCCGCTAGTTGTATGCCCATGCTGCCAGTCTGTCGCCATCTCATCTGAAACAATTAAATGAATTACATTAATACAAGAACATAATATTCTATTTTGTTTTCTTTTATTTCATTTTTATCTTTTTCTATCTTAAGTAGTATAATTATAATTATTTAGTAATAGTTAGCGCCGGTTTCACCACCTCTATATAAGTACCAGTTAAACTTATGTGACAGATAGTTCATACATATTACGTTCTTAATTCAAATTTATCTGGTAGATAACGGCTATCCAGATATTCTGAAACAGGCCCTTAGTATTTATTTAATTTAAGTTTTTACTATTTATTTGTAAATAAAAGATTAATGAGTCGTTGTCAAGAAACAAAAGATTACTTTTGTAGAGAGGTATATTATGTTGGGTGTGGTTATAGTACTTCTAATAACGTAGATATTGATCATACCATATTACATGATTGAGGAAAGATAGAGAGCAGACGCAGATGGAAAGTAATCAGTAAGTACTGACTATGGACACCCACAGTTCGCAAGGAGTTACGAGTGCGTTGCCTGCTTTTCAAAGTCAAAGTCAAAGCATTTATATCAATTAATCCTTAAGTAGGCACTTTTGAAACGTCAAAATTGAATTGTCTGTCCGTCATCTGTTAGTGAAGCTAGGCGCTCGTTCAAAGTGTGGTTTCGTATGTAGAAGAACAAGCAAGAAACTCCATTCGATACTCTTCTAAAAAATGTTTTTACAATCTCTTGTGAGGAAGAAGGGATGGGAGCTCCAATTACCCAGAGACAAAACACAATACAGTAGGATTTAATGCTGACCGAGTTATAACACTCAAACCATCTGGTTAATACCTGCACCACTGCCCACTCGTTTGGACATTATACGTTACACAATAGATTCAAATCCTGTGTCCCTATACTGAAAAGATCCGTAATATTTGCCCAGTCATGAAGAAAAATAGAAACATAATATAATATACCATTTATCATTTACAAAGATCAATTTTATCGAAGGAAAACGACTCAAGGGTCCGTAGTATGGTGCCAATCTATATTTATAGTTTCTATTCAATCTTTTGATATAAGATATCTATACATAATGTAGTTGGATGATATTTATGTACACTTTAGTTCAAGACGCGACTTTGTTGGAGACAATCAATTCCTTTGATGCTCTTTAGTCGAAGAGCTAGGGTAAGTAATGTGTCACAGTATATTGAATTTTGAGCAGTCTGTTTTCGTGTTTACAATAATATAGTACGTTCGGTTAAGATACAAAGTATTATTTTTAGTTTTTCGGTAGGGACTTGGTTGATACAAAAATATATTTATTTGCTTAATCTATTTCATCCGGCAACTTACTAAGATATTCCAAGAATAGAAATTCCTAAAATAGAACTAAGAATTTCTCATTTACGTACTTTGTTGTTAATTAAAATACAATTTGGGCATTAATAAGGGTCTCTTTGCCCAGAATTATGTTTGAATAAAACATGACTGACCACTGCTGTATTTGCTTGCTGTATCTACCAGATAAAATACATACCAGATAAATAGATTTGGTGATTATGTCTGTTAGGTATAAAGAATAATCACAATCATGCACTATTGGCAGCTATACTAGTTTCGAGTGATAACGGGACTCGACTTCTTCATATATGTAAAGCATTGTTATTTTAATTTATGAAATAATTAATAATGCCGTACGTTATTTAATATAAAGAAACAACTTAATATTGAGTTTAAAAAAGACCTATGCTTCAGCACGAATGGGCCGGCTCGACCGGAGTGATACCACGGCCTCACAGAAAACAGATGTGAAAGAACGCTTGCGTTGTATTTCGTCGTGTGAGTGAGGTTACCCTAGGCACAAATACTCCTCCCTCCATTCTCAATCCCTGAATCCCTAACAATTCTCAAATTCCTAATAATTCAAAAATGGCCGGTAACGCACTTGTAACGCCTTCGGTGTTCCAGCTGTCCATGGGCGACGCCGATTGCTGACCATCTGGTGATCCATCTGCTCGTTGATAGGCTTATCCAATAAAAAGATAACCACTAAGAAATTCATACTTTTATCATTCACCAATCCGCAATCAACAAAAACTTAAAACAAACTTAATCAAAACAAAAAACATAAACAAGCGATACTCTACTCTAGCTCTCGGCCTATATTCGAATACAAGGGGAGGATCCCTAAGGCAATGTCTTTAACTAACTCCGAAATCAGTTTCCGCGCCATTTTGTGTTGCCAATCAGTCGCGAAGGGTACATACATTGTATAGGAACAAACAGAAGTTCTGATAGAGTTTATAATAATGGGTATACACGTGTACATACACGTGGTATGTTGAGATAATTTCAATCATTGTGTTGTGTTTGATAGTAAGTTTTGTAATTTGTTTTCCGGAAGGCTGTTTGATATATGTATATTATGATTTGTTGTCTGATTGGAATGAAGAATGTTGCCATGTATCTTCGGTCAGATTTACCTTATCGGGTTATTAGCGCATCCCCAACTCCTTACTCCGAATCAGTAGAGTACATGTTTGTTGAGATTTCCATTAAATTAAATAAAATTCTGGTTGCAGTTGTTTATTCCCCGAACCTGCACATAAATTACTTTGACAGCCTCGATACTGAACTTGACAAATTATGCCCTGATTATAATCACATTATAATTATGGGTGACTTCAACACATGCTTACTGAAGAATGATTCCCGTGCACTCAAATTTAAATCGCTTGTGTCATCTTTCAACCTACACTTACTTCCTCTCTCCGCTACTCATAATTCCCCTAACTCTTCGCCCTCTCTGCTTGATCTTATGATTGTCTCGTCGCCCAGCCACGTAGATGATTATGGTCAATTAACTGCTTCGTTCTCCTATCACGACCTAATTTTCCTATCTTACCGCATTCGTACACCTAAACGCAGACCCCTTTATCTGAATCTGCGTAGTTATAAGCAGATGGATTTGGAGGCGTTACAGCGTGATGTTAGTGTCATTGATTGGAGTCCTATAACTGACGCCGAGTGCATTGATGTCAAGGTCAACTCTCTTAATAAAATTATCATTGATATTTTTGACAAATTTGCACCGGTGAGACGGGTGAGGGTGAAGCATGAACCGGCTCCCTGGATCACGCCTGATATTGAGGAAGCTATGGCTCGACGTGATAGGGCCAAACAAAAATATAAGAGAAGACCCTGCGATGAAAACCTCACACTATTCAGGGCTTTTCGTAATCGATGCAATCGTCTGTGTAGGGATGCTAGAAGGTGCTATTTCGATGAAAACCTGGTCAATCGTTCTTCTAGTGATGCATGGAAGTTTCTGCGTTCTGTGGGCATCGGAAAGTCACCTGCTGCCGCATGTAGTGGCTTGGACCTCACTTCTCTAAACTTACACTTCTCGCTTCCTCCGGTTACTCTCGATATTTCCACAAAATCTAAGACTCTCTACGATCTTTCCTGTTTACCATTTCTCCCTTCTTCTCCTTTTGAATTACGCAGTGTTTCCGAAGAAGATGTCAAAAGGTCAATGCTCGCCGTTAAGTCATCTGCAGTGGGCAATGACAATCTATGCTCCCGCATGTTTCTCCCCATTCTTAATCTCATTATCCCTATCCTTACTCACATTTTTAATTTCTCCTTATTCTCTTGTTCCTTCCCCTCTGCCTGGAAGATGGCCCATATTATTCCTTTACCTAAATCTTCCAACCCTTGCTCACCTTCCCAATACAGGCCTATTTCTATTCTTCCTTTCCTCTCCAAAGTTATGGAACATCTTGTTCATAAGCAGCTTACTTCCTACTTATCTTCTAATAATCTAATTTCTCCTTATCAGTCTGGTTTCCGCCCTGGTCACAGTACCGTTACGGCTCTGCTCAAAGTGACTGACGACATTCGTTGGGCCATGGACAACAAGTCACTAACTATTCTTGTGTTACTGGACTTCAGTTCGGCCTTCAACTCCGTGGATTTTGATATCCTCTTGGGTGTTCTGAAGGCCAACAACTTCTCTTCCTCTTCTTTGAACTGGTTTGAATCATATCTTCGGGGTCGTCGACAGCGTGTACGCTTGGAGGAAGTTTTTTCCGACTGGTGTGACCTCGTTGCTGGCGTGCCTCAGGGTGGCGTCCTTTCTCCTGTTCTTTTCTCCATGTTTATAAATACCGTTGCCAAGGTAATCTCCTCTAATTTTCACCTCTACGCAGACGACCTGCAGCTTTATCGTCACTTCAAACTATCGGAAGTTGGTCGCGCTATCGATGCTGTAAACCGCGACTTGGACGGGATTGATAAGTGGGCCAAGTCCTTTGGTCTCCAAGTCAATCCTCTTAAGTCTCAGGCCATGATCATCGGTAGTCGATACTTCCGCAGCGCTCTGGACATCTCTACTCTTGAGCCCGTGCGCCTAAATGGCACAGTGATCCCTTTCACTGACACTGCCAAGAATTTGGGGGTAATCTTCGATTCCAATCTTCTATGGGGTGCACAGGTGAGTGAGGTCAGTCGAAGAGTCCATTTCTCCTTTCACTCGCTGAAGCGTCTCCGGTCCTTCTTGCCATTTAAAACTAAAATTCTCCTCGTACAATCCTTAATTCAGCCTTTACTCGACTACGCAGATGCTTGCTATTTGGACGTCACTGAGGAGCTACTAAACAAGCTTGAGCGGCTGCAAAACGTCTGTATTCGCTTTGTCTTCGATCTTAAGAAGTACGATCATGTCTCAGTATATCGCAGTAAGCTCAAGTGGCTCCCAATCCGACTTCGCCGGAACACTCGCATTTTATGTCTCCTTTATAATGTCCTTAACAACCCAGCCTATCCTATATATCTCCGTGACCGTTTTTCCTTGGCTCGTCCTCCTGAAGCCCTATCTAGATCCCACCTTAAGTCCCTTCTTGAAATCGTTCAACATAAAACCGATTTCTACTCCTACTCCTTCACGGTTCATGCGGTGAGATTGTGGAATTCGCTGCCGCCTAGCATACGCGACTCCAAGTCCTTCTCCATTTTTAAACGACTTGTCAGGGATTATT